ATAAAGATTAAAGAAGCTTAAGGGGTGCAGAAGTTGAAGGTAAGAATATAACCGACAATTCCAAATGTAAGTGGTGGGTTGGGGTGGGGGTATTATCCGAGCTTCTTATCGGTCTTCACTCTCCACATGTAACTATGACCTCGAGGTCATCAGTCGAGTCACAATGGGCGGCCAGAGCTTCCTCCGTGTTTGTGAACATATGGAAGTCTGACGGCGCCTGATCGGGGGAAAAGGTGGGTGGTGAAGGAGTTCAAAACAACGCTCTAGACTTGTTGCCATGGCAATGGCTTATATGTGCACTGGTGGATTATCCTGATTGAAGAGCCTTTCCCTGGCTCTCCACATCTCTTAGTCTTAATTTCATCCCTCAATTTCCTCGGAAATGCAGCATAATATGCACCGTTTAATGTCTGGCCTCTCAGAAGTTAATCCGCCTTGATAACGAACTCGGAATCCCAGAATTCATGGCCATAAACAGCTGCGGAGTCTTTGACTTCTGAAGCTGTGGTGATGTAAGATACCTGTTCTGGTTGCTGTTGAGAATCATGCTTGATGTGACCAACCCAATTTTCTTATTTCATCACATATCGTTGCAATAGTCTTTCTTATTAGTGTGAGAATAACGAGACTGTGATTTTGACCAGCGGCCTGGAGGTCTTGATCCCACACAAGTAGTACTGTCTTCATCGCTAGAGTGGCATAATGGAATGAAGTCTAAATTGACTATTAATACAACGCCGTGTCATTCCATATAAGTTAATCTCCTTGGATTATTTCTGGTTTTCCTGACGTGGCAGTTTTTTTACGACACAACATGATCGTCATTAAGGGTCTCCGCGCCTCGGGTAAACTCTGCTGTGCTCTACGTTACAATAACATAGAAATGAGTATCCTTTAGAAGTGTTGTATTCGTACTTTCATGGGTGGCTTGTTGATCTTGATGACTAAATATTCCTCAAGTTATTATCATCATTCCAGAATAAAAACATATATGCAGCAACGATCCTGGCAAGTCGGTCTGCTTGGGCTCATCAGCAACTCAAGGCCTTTGCCCCTTTACCCGCAGCCCAAACAGTGACTGAGACTTCTTCCTGGAAGCGCTGCCTAGTCGAACCCTTGAGAACAGGCGAAGACTTCCCATCACTGTCAGCAAACCCAGGAAGTGCCCAAATGTCCGTCAACAGATTGGGAGGTACCAAACCGATGGCGTCAAGAGGAAAGGGGAGTGGGACAGCTTTGTACTTTGGATGCAAGCATAAGCTAAGTCGACATTAATGGCCTTGCTTTTCCAGAATCTTCTCAATCACATTGGCACAAACAAATTATAATACATTGATATTATCATTTCTATAGATTTATCAAAAAGGACACATATAGGTGTGTTGTCCAGGATACGTCTTAGGATGTAAAAGGGCATATTCGATAGCAGTTTACAGTGAACATTATCCTTGAATATGTGGGTCTTATCATGATTGACCACGAGCAATGCGAAGACGGTTACAAAAATGATCGAGCGACGCCAGTCTGTCGCATAAGATTCAGTGTTTGTGCAGGGTGTTGATAATTATTGTAATTAGCAATAGAGCTAGTAGTAGTAGTAGTAGTAGTAGTAGTAATAGTGGTAGTAGTAGTAGTAGTCGTAGTAGTAGTAGTAGTAGGTAGTAGCAGTAGTAGTAGTAGTAGTAGTAGTAGTAGGTAGTAGCAGTAGTAGTAGTAGTAGTAGTAGTAGTAGTAGTAGTAGTAGTAGTAGTAGTAGTAGTAGTGAGAATCAAAATGATCATAGCGTTGAGCAAAAGCCTTTGAAAACAGATTCCCCGGTTAACATATTTACATTGTCATTACTCTGTTCACAAGTCGTGGTTGTTCCGAATGCTTTATTCCTTCAATTATTCCATTTGTTTGAATGTATATTCGTCCATTGCACGCCATGTACCCCCTCCATCCACAACCCCTTAGTACAGTACACGCTAAGAAAACGATACTTCTTTTAGACAATCATCCACAACTATTTAATATCACGAACATATTATTTACTCATTTAGGTTCGAGATGATAAATGAGGTGCGTCCTACAGTTCCCCCCTGACAGTGAAGACTTACTAATCAGTCGGGGTATATTAACCACGCTGACGCGCTCGACTGACGAGCACTTGAACAGATTATACATTACCACAGAGAAAACATTGTCCCGCTGATAGCGTCCGTCTCGCTTGTCATTACTTTCTACATCATTGGTGTCGATTGTGTAAAACCAAGTACCGTACTTCTGTCACTTCTATTTCAGCAAAGGTCTCTTTTGTCTGTACATTTCACGGTTTATTGTAACATTTAAATGTTTACTGAACTGTGTCTGCACTCGGTACCGCTATTGTCATGTTTTCAGTTATGGCTTCAAAGTTGGTACTGATTTGATCATACAATGATTCAGCCATGCATGGTCACTGATACCACAAGTTTATAGTGCCCGTGATACACATTATCCGCCTCAGTCGGAGACAATCGATGCTGTGAAAGTGTCACGTACATGCAATATTCGCTATTAAACCCTTATGATGACGTCACCCTATTGTTCCTGCTGTTGATTCACAGAAAGGAATACACTCGCCATTCCGAACGTGCATTTTCAACAATTAAAATGTGAAATATTACTTTATTACAGTTAATACTTCAGACGATGTTTCCACATCTGTTTTGCACTTAATCAGTGTAAGATTATCCTGTAAGAATTCCAGATGAAATCTATTCCTTGAAGAGTTCATGTAAATCATAAACCAGATAATAAACAAAGAAAAAAGTGTATTTTCTGGTCGCTATGCATGAGCGCAAACACGCCTCAAATCCATGACACTTTGTGTTGTTAAATGTCACAGACAGCACGCTGACTTGGCTTGACTTGGCCCATACAACACATGTCAACATGACCTGGTTAGGCCCGTACAACACATGTCAACATGACCTGGTTAGGCCCGTACAGCACACATCGATCTGATCTGGTTAGCCCCGTACAGCACACATCGATCTGATCTGGTTAAGGCCCGTACAGCACACATCGATCTGATCTGGTTAGGCCCGTACAGCACACATCGATCTGATCTGGTTAGTCCCGTACAGCACACATCGATCTGATCTGGTTAGGCCTGTACAGCACACATCGATCTGATCTGGTTAGGCCTGTACAGCACACATCGATCTGATCTGGTTAGTCCCGTACAGCACACATCGATCTGATCTGGTTAGGCCCGTACAGCACACATCGATCTGATCTGGTTAGTCCCGTACAGCACACATCGATCTGATCTGGTTAGGCCCGTACAGCACACATCGATCTGATCTGGTTAGTCCCGTACAGCACACATCGATCTGATCTGGTTAGGCCTGTACAGCACACATCGATCAGATCTGGTTAGTCCCGTACAGCACACATCGATCTGATCTGGTTAGGCCCGTACAGCACATGTCAACATGACCTGGTTAGGCCCGTACAGCACACATCGATCTGATCTGGTTAGGCCCGTACAGCACACATCGATCTGATCTGGTTAGCCCGTACAGCACACATCGATCTGATCTGGTTAGGCCCGTACAGCACACATCGATCTGATCTGGTTAGGCCTGTACAGCACACATCGATCAGATCTGGTTAGTCCCGTACAGCACACATCGATCTGATCTGATTAGGCCCGTACCGCACATGTCAACATGAACTGGTTAGGCCCGTACAGCACATGTCAACATGAACTGGTTAGGCCCGCACAGCACATGCCGACTTGACCTGGTTAGACCCGTAACGTTTGTCACTTCATCGAGAATCAAATACATAACCCGAAAGTATGCGACAATCGCTGTTATTTAAACAGATTCATTTTCAAATGTAACTTATTACCTCCAGAGGATAGTTGGGCGGTAATTGTCACCTTTACTTGTATTCATGTATGCGTACTAAAAGACGGATATGTTATCATTATTTCTGTGACAGTTGCCTCAGCACTGTAATTACATTACACCATCCATTTTCAAACATGAGACGCAAAGAAAAAGCGGGACATTATAGCAAGCAGTGAATTTCCGTTGTATCATTGTGTGTCAGCTCGATGTGGGTGACAGTGTAAAGCGGGTGGTGATGCAGCTGTAGTTGCAACTACTGTGGAGTGCTGACAAAACCAAAGCACATCTTGAATTCAAACTCACAACAAAAGATCCCTACACGGTACGGAAAGGCTCTCGTGCCCACTGAACCTACACACTAAGAGGTGAAATTGGGTTTAACGTCGTGCTTGAGAATATTTCGCTCATATGACGACGTGCATGCGTGTGTATGTGCGGCTGCTTGTTCTAGCCCAGACTGGTTTTATAGTGCTAGCCCACTGAGATACCATGCCGCAATGAAGCATGAATACCCCACTCGGACACATTATACTGACTCCGATCCGACCAGTCCTTGTTGTACACATTAATGCCGAGCGCCAGGCAGGGACCAACAAGTACCACATTTTAACGTCTTTTGGTATGACGCGGTCGGGGATCGAATCCGCGACCTTCCGCTCTCCGGGCGGACGCTCTAACCACTACACCACGGAGGCGGTCCTACACACTAAGAAAACTGGACATTTGTTACGGTTCAACTGGGCGCGATACCGCTGTTGTTTTGTATGTCATCTTATGGTTATGTAAAATTAAATATCGAGGAAGCGTAGGTTATTCAAATACTTGTGAATATATAGTGACATCGAAGGTTTGACCTAAGATAGTCCTCCTTAAGGTACGAAGTCTGCCCCAGTCACTGGAGGTTGTTGAGGAGTATCAATACACGAAGACATAGAAGCGGTGAGGGGGATGCCATACATCGTAAAGCTGACGGCCAACATCAGGGTCAGAAGATGACGTCGAGGTATTCTCTCATTTCAAATACCCCTCAAAACAACGTGTACAGTACAGAAAACTAGGAAATGCGTCTGAGACTTTACTCATAATATTGTTCCAGTTACAAAGAGGCTGTAGAGGTACAAGGGAGATCGATTTATTTCACACAAAAGGCCAGTAATTTCAATTAATACTAAATTTTCCAGAGGAGCTCTAATGACTTATGTAACTATGAAATGAGTAGATTCTTTGTTTTTTAGCGTGAACGTTGTCCTGGACGTCCTTCAGTCCAATATGTAGAGCAGGAACGACATCATAACCATCACTGCTGTTAACAGGCCACCTCCTAGAACAAAGGGTGAATTCATATATTGCATCAGCTTGGAAAATTGAACCTAGTTCTTACTCGTTACAAGCAAACGTTTTAAGTAGCAATCATACCCTAGGACCTCCTACATGTATTACAGTTGTACAGTGTGATATTTCTCCTATTAAATATCCTTGGATGTCTACATGACCTTCGTTACAAATTCATTTCTCCTTCATGGAACATTTCTTCTCTCCGATGATTTGTTTCTATCTATGTCAACCCAACACGTGTTATGCGCACGAGGAGATATATAGAGAATTTCACCCAAGTGTCTACTGATATCAATTATATCAACACGAGTTGATAAAGCTACAAATATCCGAGGCTTGCCGAGTGTTGATACATTTGATATCACAAGACACGAGGGTGAGATTCATCAAAAATCACTCTTCATTAGTTTTCAGTGAACAATGTACATCTCTGAACATGGTACTGCCATTAGATTTGGATTGCAGCGATATCATAGCATTGTGATGTCATCAGGTGTTTATGTCATAGCATTGTGAGTCATGTAATTGATGATGTCAAAGTATTGTGACCGCATATAATTGATGACGTCAGGGCATTGCACAAAATCTACTGTCAAAACGATATCTCCCAGGACATATCGTTTGATCTCACACAAGCAACATCTCCCATGGAACAAATTGTTGTATGATAAATTGTATTACCTGCAGTGCTCCCTCTGTTTGGCGTCACGCGTAACTCAGCTGAAAACAAAAACACAGGCATGATCCTATGAATAAACTATTGCCCCCGAGGTGACGTTTCGATATAGAATCTTCAAGTATGTTTTACATTTTACATGTTCTGTTGAAGACAATACCCACTGCCAGGAACAGAGCTACTACTGAATCTGCCTACATGTTCTACAGGTTCTACAGGTTTTCACTTCCAGTGCAATGATAAAAGTTTAACTTACCTTCCGGGCACAGCTCGTTTATATTGGAGAGTGACACGCCATGTCCTGCCTTGTTGGCGGTACAATGTTTCACACTGTCAGCGCACGTTACAGTGCTCTTCAGCATGCTATAAAGAACATCTTGGGTTTTAACGCAACCGTTTTAGTTACATGGAATCTACCATTCAGCTTAGCTAGTCTTTCAGAAGCTTACAGTGCCCTGTGCTGACATGACACCATAATGGCCGATGGAAGGTCACACGATTATGAAACAATTAACAGCACAGAAATAATCCAAACTTTGAGATCGCTCTAATTACACCAAACAAATATATGCTACATATGTCATGGCAATTTTAGATAGAAGCATACGTGTAAATAAGACCGATGTTTGTAATCCTGCGAATTCTGAGTATATTGAAAAGAGAGTCGGTTGTACGATTCCGACTGGAACTGCTCGGTGCCTGGTCATTCAGCACGTATGATCACAGATGGTGTTCCCTGATCGGTGCCAAACTGGGAATTATTGATTTTGTCATCTCAGTCGGTGAGATTAAGACATTTGTTTGGGGAAAAAACGAAATCTTCAATATATTCAACAACTGATAATAAACATAACATTTCGCGTTTCCGCTTTGTAAACGTTTGGACGAAACATATGTTGGTGGGGAGTGAGTTTAGTTTTACGCCGACTCGGCAATATTCCAGCTATGTGGCGGCAGTTTGTCAATAATCGAGTCTGGACCAGTGATCAACAGCATGAGCATCGATCTACGCAACTGTGATACGATGACATGTGTCAACCAAGTCAGCGAGCCAGACCACCCGATCCCGTAAGTCGCCTATTGCGATAAGCATGGGTTACTGAAGATTCTATCCCGGTTCTTCACGGGTCCAAAACATATGTAAAAATCTGTCATCGGAAGAGGCCACTCACGAGCACCAGAAGCGCGGGTCTATGAAGAGAGGGACGAATGAGTTGAGATCAGTTGGCACAATCATCGTATCCATACAAGACGCCATTTCTGGACAGGCAACCAACTCTACATCGGACGTCAGGGCTGAAGATAAAGTCAAAACCGAATGACATAATTATATTGTCGGGTAAAGCAGAAATTTGAAAATTACATAACTACAGTCATACCACGAATGGGGGGTGAGGTGGGGTGGGGGGTAACTCACAAGGGATACATCACACATACGCGAACCAAGTGGTTGGTGTGGAGTGGGGATTGGCCATGAGTGGATGCAATGATACGAATATCCTTTACTCGTTTGATGCTCTAAGATCTTCTTGGCGTACAGGAAAACACTTCACGAGGGCATTTGGCGACGTTATCAGTACAAATACACATTCAGCTTGCAAACGTAAATTGTTTCCTGATTTATGCCCTTCCCAATTTCAAAGGCACTTGTCAAACGTCAATGTCTGCCCTTCTTGCGCCGTACCGAAACGGTGGTGGTATAATGAGTTAGTGAGTGGATGAGTTTAGTTTTAAGCCACCTTTTGTAACATTCCTGCAATATCACTGCGGGGGGACACCAGAAATAGGCTTCACACAAATGAGGAATCGAACCCGGGTCTTTGGCGTGACGCGCTAACGCAAAAACCACTAGGCTACCCCACCGCCCAGTGGTGGTATAAGCAATACTTAAAAGCATTAGAGAATATAATCAATACAAGTAAGCATTAGAGTGACAGAAGCAACACTGAAAAGCTGCAGAGGGTGGTGTATGCACAATTAGGAAGCATTAAGGGTACAAGGTTGATATGCATTAGATGTTGAACAATCATCAGGAGGTGGAAGGATTAATGCAGAAAGGTATAAGAGAGGGTATACGCAATACTCATAAGCAATAGAATAAGGGAAGTGTAGCACTATTATATATTTCCATTAACAACAGAGCAAGGGGGTATGAGCAATTCTAATAATCACAAGTAGAAAGGGGATTATACAAGGATTTAAATTCCTTCACGTAACACAGTGGACACGTACTTCGACAGGTAGCGTTATAGAGGCCGCCAACTTCGTCGAAGGTGTAGTCTCTGGGGGAGGAGATGTTGCACTTAGCTAACTCTTCGTGCATGCATGCCATGGTGTCCGTCATCACCCTGTTGAAAACACACACCGATTGGTCAGGCGACATCACACGTATAACAATTATTTCCAGAAAGGGTTATTTTCAAATTATGGACTTCGCGCTCTTATGATGATGACAGTCCAGTCAATATACCACTGGACCAAGAACAAATTACTAAGGAAGCTATATACCGGTAAGTTGGAAGTTTCATTATTTAAACATTTTTCAGAGATGCATTTCCTTATACACTCCACCAGCTGTTAACATCCATACTTTTAACTTTTATGGGCTAAACATAATATATTCCAAAACACTTGATTCTGTTCCTCTGTAATAATGATAATAAATGTATTTTTATAATGCGCTAAACGCTTAACGCCATTCACTAGGTGAATGCTCATAGCGCTATCAAGCTGAAATCAAAATCTTATTATGATTACCCCGGTTAACCGTAGCTGCCTGTGAGGCGCTAAAAGGTTAATAGTCGCATGATTTATACCACCGGGTACCCATATAACTGCCTGGTGAACAGCGGCAATTTTTTAACGAACTCACTTTTCTAAGGTGAGGCCAGAAACGTCCTAGAAACTCTCGGGAGTCAAGCTGCCAAACACGATCACCGATCCAAGGACTCTCGCCGCTCAACGTTACTTATTAATAACTTGAACTGATTGTGCCCTGAGCTCTATCCCCAGGACCACACACACACCCAGTTGGTGCAGTCCTGTTTCACTAGACTAGGACAGTATTTCTCATACAATATATTATTCATATCTCATCAGAGACAGTTGGTTGGCGGTGTACGTACGCACAACTCTTCAGGAGGTCTGGCACAGTCGGTGCTTCTGGTGTGGAGGAGGACATGTTCTTGGTGCAGGTATACACGGAGGGGCAATCTGGAAATATACCATCAGATACAGCACACAAAAACAACGCCGTCAGACGCCAGACAAATGTCCTATACCACATCACTCTCATCATTGTGAACTACTTCCAACTATACCGTCTCAGGCAAGAACCCGGGCCCTACAAGAACGTCATCACTTACAAGATCATCATCACTTACAAGACCATCATCACTTACAAGACCATCATCACTTACAAGATCATCATCACTTCATCATCAAGACCATCACATACAAGACCATCATCACTTACAAGACCATCATCACTTACAAGATCATCATCACTTACAAGACCATCATCACTTACAAGATCATCATCACTTACCAGACCATCATCACTTACAAGATCATCATCACTTACAAGATCATCATCACTTACAAGATCATCATCACTTACAGACCATCATCACTTACAAGATCATCATCACTTACAAGACCATCATCACTTACAAGACCATCATCACTTACAAGACCATCATCACTTACAAGATCATCATCACTTACAAGACCATCATCACTTACAAGATCATCATCACTTACAAGACCATCATCACTTACAAGATCATCATCACTTACAAGATCATCATCACTTACAAGACCATCATCACTTACAAGATCATCATCACTTACAAGACCATCATCACTTACAAGATCATCATCACTTACAAGATCATCATCACTTACAAGACCATCATCACTTACCAGACCATCATCATCAAGACTTACAAGATCATCATCACTTACAAGACCATCATCACTCACAAGATCATCATCACTTCATCATCATCACTTACAAGATCATCATCACTTACAAGATCATCACATCATCATCATCACAAGACCATCATCACTTACAAGACCATCATCACTTACAAGATCATCATCACTTACAAGACCATCATCACTTACAAGACCATCATCACTTACAAGACCATCATCACTTACAAGACCATCATCACTTACAAGACCATCATCACTTACAAGACCATCATCACTTACAAGATCATCATCACTTACAAGACCATCATCACTTACAAGATCATCATCACTTACAAGACCATCATCACTTACAAGACCATCATCACTTACTTCATCATACAAGATCATCATCACTTACAAGACCATCATCACTTACAAGATCATCATCACTTACAAGATCATCATCACTTACAAGATCATCATCACTTACAAGACCATCATCACTTACAAGATCATCATCACTTACAAGATCATCATCACTTACAAGACCATCATCACTTACAAGACCATCATCACTTACAAGATCATCATCACTTACAAGATCATCATCACTTACAAGACCATCATCACTTACAAGACTTACAAGACCATCATCACTTACTCATCAAGACCATCATCATCACTTACAAGATCATCATCATCACTTACAAGACCATCATCACTTACAAGACCATCATCACTTACAAGACCATCATCACTTACAAGATCATCATCACTTACAAGACCATCATCACTCACAAGATCATCATCACTTACAAGACCATCATCACTTTCAAGACCATCATCACTTACAAGATCATCATCACTTACAAGACCATCATCACTTACAAGACCATCATCACTTACAAGATCATCATCACTTACAAGACCATCATCACTTACAAGACCATCATCACTTACAAGACCATCATCACTTACAAGACCATCATCACTTACAAGACCATCATCACTTACAAGACCATCATCACTTTCATTACTTACAAGACCATCATCACTTACAAGACCATCATCACTTACAAGACCATCATCACTTACAAGACCATCATCACTTACAAGACCATCATCACTTACAAGACAATAATCACTTTAAGATAGCACTGACAAAAACGCCAATGTGTGATGACATGAGTGAGTAAGCTTGGTTTTACGCCGCTTTTAGCAATATTCCAGTAATACCACGACGGGAGATACCAGAAATGGCCATTGTAACCATGTGGGGAATAGAACCCAGGTCTTCGGCGTGACGAGCGAACGCTTTAACCACTAGGCTACCACACCTGTTATCATATCATGAAGCAAGTATAAGTATATATATTACAGTGAATATGTCAAATGAGTGAATATTTCAGGGATTTTATAAAATTCCTGATCCACTCGGTGGTTTCACAAAATCCCTGGAATTCCTAGGGATTTAATAAAATCCTGAAAATTACAACAATGTTTTTACATATTCCTTGAAATGAATATATCGCATTCTCAGTGTTTGTTTGGCAATACTGCTTGTAAATAGTGCATGTGTATACAGTAACCAAAGAATATAAGGAAGTTAACAATGCTCATTATATTTTTACATCTTAGTCATGTAACATAAAGACATCAGAGAACACAGGAAGAGGGCAGCAGAGTCTTAGATTCTTCAAGCAGAGAGGATGGTGAAACGAAGCAAGAGCGTTCTCTCTGAGGTTGCAGTGGGTGACTATGTGACAATACCAATTCCTGGTGCTGACAGAGGGAGAGTCGATCCAAGGAATTTGATAGGAGTTGTAAAGGACATTACTGACAACATCATGTACACACTTGCTGTAACAGCCGGTGTCATGAGTGGAAAGTATTCACACAACCAGTTTGATGTGTGTGCCACATCTCTCTGCACTATTGCAGATATGTCGACTGAGAAACTTGTATCGCTGAGATCTGCAGTCAAGTCAGAGTCTGTATGTGGTGGACATGGTTTTGTGAAATGTAACTGTGGTGGCACAAACAGATGTCAGACACAAAGGTGCAGATGTTACAAGGCTAGGGTTATGTGTAACTCGCGATGTCACTTGCAAAAACAAATGTTGATACATATGAGTGTTGTTTGACTGACGTGACTTTGTTTCGAAAAGATATCACAGAAGGTACTTTGATCCATTGCATGATTATGGCAACTGAACACTAATGCAACATCTGATAGTAATAGATAAATATTGTTTTTGTCACTTACATGTTGAATTATTTGATATTTGTTTTTAACTATATATGTGATACAGCAGCAACGTATGTATTACAGCCTGAAAGATACAGCTTCAACTCCTGACACTGAACCTCCCGCCGTGAGACAATTGTTCCTTGATGACCAACAACACGTACCGACCATGTGGCAAGCCATTGTGTATCCCTGCTCCACCTCTCCGATGACCTGAGACCGGGTGACGGCTGGGTCGCACAGAGGCAGCAGCTGGTCCACACAGTCCATGTAGGATCTCACACCACTACGAGAAATAAATGATGGTGCTTCAGATACAGAACAACTAGCTATTGCATAATTCCATTTGAGTACTCTCGGTCGTTTTGGCTTAAGCTTTTGTAAAATCAGACCGCAATTTGATTGCTTCAAGGTCCGGAGAGAATGACTAACACAACCTTCCACCACCTCTGTGACCTTTGTCTTTGATAAAATTGTACAGACTCGTGTTCTTGGTCTCACTTGAGGGCATGGCAGTGTTTCAACACAGCGACGTTCACCTCACTCACAGACTTACCTGCAGTAGTCAGACGGCTGGGTTGTCTTGTTGAGGACCTCAGACAACTGTGGCATGCAACTCTGAACCTTCACCTGGCACATTTCTACAGGGTTACCTACAAAAGGTTGATCATTAAGGATTGAATTTAAAAAGCGACAAATTCCTTTCCACATTAATAAAAGCATGTGGCGACTCCATCTTTATCACGAGCAGGTGTTTGTGTAAAGGTGAGCGCATCCTGCCCCACCGGTGGAACCCGTCATAAACCAACGCAAAGACAAATTGGTCACCCGAGAAAGGACGGGAAGTGTGGTAAAATTTAACTAAGGATTTACATCCAAATTGTAATTGTTGCCATGTCTTCACACGCTGTCATGATTTTTATCTCAACATTAAAGTCATTGCTACACGTTAAGTAACATTGTAAGTTATCCCACTGCATTATTACCTCGTACAGGGAAATCGCGTTAGTGCGGACACCACCAGAAAAATACACACAAAAGATTACTCACAGCCTATCTATATTCACCACATTCTTGATTCGTTAACCGCCAATGGGCTTCCATGCGGCTAGAAACAAGCACAGTGCACAGACCGACCCTAAGTCAGGTTTTGATTCTCGGAATAGCCAACATCCCCTGACTGTGAGTGTCACTGTAGTACTAAACGACTACAACCCTTAGACTACGACTTAACGGCATACGTTAACCCTGACATGGTGACCTGAATGTCTGACACGTCACCTTTACACAGTGTCTTGTACGAGTCCTCCACCCCTGACACGAAGCTGCTCCGATTCAGACTCGGGTCGCATGTAGCAAACGTTGTGTCGAAGCAGCCCATGTACTCCCCCATTAGCCTGCAACACCAAGGATTGAGGACAGATCTAACACACATGACGCATGCCATACCATCGGATATAATTCAGGCGGATATTATAACATCGGACAAAACAAAGTCGGAAAACCAACATTTGATACAATCTGCTGGACATGAAACAGATATTATACCGTGTAATAAAACACTCATGATATAGCATAGTTGGATGTTAAAATCATCTCAAATAGCGCAGTGGGATATTACACTGGATGAAAAAACGCAATAGCAGAGTTTAATACTGCACGGTTGCATAAAAAACGAAATCGTATAAATATAAAATATGTTGAATGTCGTTAACATCAGTGTCTACAAATAACTGAGTCAAGGAAAAACAACAACATTAGTGCCTATATGAGGATGGGTCTATGAAGGAACTAATATTGGTACATATAAATGGATATGTCTGTCTTTGAAGGAACCCAGATTATCTCTTACATAAGGATGTGTGTCTAGACACAGCCTATATATAGATGTGTGTCATGGTGGGAAGGAATATGTGCCCATATATGGATGTGTGTCTAGGTGGGAGGAATGTAAGTGCCCATATATGGATGTGTGTCTAGGTGGGGGGAGTAAGTGCCCATATAAGGATGTGTGTCTTGGTGGGAAGGAATATGTGCCCATATATGGATGTGTGTCTTGGTGGGAGGCATGTATGGATGAGTGCCTATATATGGATGTGTGTCTAGGTGGGAGGAATACATGTGCCCATGTATGGATGTGTGTCTTGGTGGGAAGGAATATGTGTCCATATATGGATGTGTGTCTAGGTGGGAGGAATGTAAGTGCCCATATATGGATGTCTGTCTAGGTGGGAAGGAACATTTATAAGTGCCCATGTATGGATGTGTGTCTAGGTGGGAGGAATGTAAGTGCCCATATATGGATGTGTGTCTAGGCGGGAGGAATGTAAGTGCCCATATATGGATGTGTGTCTAGGCGGGAGGAATATAAGTGCCCATGTATGGATGTGTGTCTAGGCGGGAGGAATGTAAGTGCCCATATATGGATGTGTGTCTACGCAGCGCCTATATGTAGATGTGTGTCTCGGTAGGATCCAGAATCGGTGACTATAGACGTGTCTCTTGCTGAAACCTATAACAGCGTTTATAGATATACTTCCTTTCAAAAGTTTAGACTCACTAGTGTAAATATAGACACTTACTTCAGTCAACTGTTCTTGACTTAATTTTGCAAAATACCCCATACTGTTTAAAGGTACTGTTTACACATGAAATGATGTATTGTACAACAAATTCGTAACGTTGAAACGATTATTGTCATGACTTCAATAAATGATAAAAATCAGTGAAAATTAACAATTATCAGTGAGTTCTTAACAACACTTTACACCAAAACACAGATGTTCACATGCACGATATTTGCACATGCTTTTCAGCAATTTGATGTATGATCCTCGTACATTTCATCTGAATAAAGTTTGCAGTTGGTTCCCATAAGTTATTAATCTTCGATGTAACCATATCTATCCATAACATATAGTGGAAACATTTTGTGTCTGAACAGTAATCAATATCACTGTCTACAGATATTTGGGTGTCAATGCAATAATCGATATCACTGTCTACAAATATTTGGGTGTCGATGCAGGAATCAATATCATTGTCTACAGATATGTGGGTGTCAATGCAGGAATCAATATCACTGTCTACAGATATCTGGGTGTCAATGCAGGAATCAATATCACTGTCTGCAGATATTTGGGTGTCAATGCAGGAATCAATATCACTGTCTATAGATGTATGAGTGTCAATGGAGGAATCAATATCACTATTTGGGTGTCAATGCAGGAATCTACAGATATTTGGGTGTCAATGCAGGAATCAATATCACTGTCTACAGATATTTCGGCGTCAATGCAGGAATCAATATCACTGTCTACAGATATTTGGGTGTCAATGGGTGTCAATGCAGGAATCAATATCACTGTCTACAGATATTTGGGTGTCAATGCAGGAATCAATATCACTGTCTATAGATGTATGAGTGTCAATGCAGGAATCAATATCACTGTCTACAGATATTTGGGTGTCAATGCAGGAATCAATATCACTGTCTACAGATATTTGGGTGTCAATGCAGGAATCAATATCACTGTCTACAGGAATGTAGATGTAGTGTCAATGCAGGAATCAATATCACTGTCTACAGATATTTGGGTGTCAATGCAGGAATCAATATCACTGTCTACAGATATTATGGGTGTCAATGCAGGAATCAATATCACTGTCTACAGATATTTGGGTGTCAATGCAGGAATCAATATCACTGTCTACAGATATTTGGGTGTCAATGCAGGAATCAATATCACTGTCTACAGATATTTGGGTGTCAATGCAGGAATCAATATCACTGTCTACAGATATTTGGGTGTCAATGCAGGAATCAATATCACTGTCTACAGATATTTGGGTGTCAATGCAGGAATCAATATCACTGTCTACAGATATTATGAGTGTCAATGCAGGAATCAATATCACTGTCTACAGATATTTGGGTGTCAATGCAGGAATCAATATCTGTCTACAGATATTTGGGTGTCAATGCAGGAATCAGATATTTGGGTGTCAATGCAGGAATCAATATCACTGTCTACAGATATTTGGGTGTCAATGCAGGAATCAATATCACTGTCTACAGATATTTGGGTGTCAATGCAGGAATCAATATCACTGTCTACAGATATTTGGGTGTCAATGCAGGAATCAATATCACTGTCTACAGATGTATGAGTGTCAATGCAGGAATCAATATCACTGTCTACAGATATTTGGGTGTCAATGCAGGAATCAATATCACTGTCTACATCACTGTCAATGCAGGAATCAATCACTGTCTACAGATATTTGGGTGTCAATGCAGGAATCAATATCACTGTCTACAGATATTTGGCTGTCAATGCAGGAATCAATATCACTGTCAATGCAGGAATCAATATCACTGTCTACAGATATTTGGGTGTCAATGCAGGAATCAATATCACTGTCTACAGGTGTCAATGCAGGAATCAATATCACTGTCTACAGATATTTGGGTGTCAATGCAGGAATCAATATCACTCACTGTCTACAGATATTTGGGTGTCAATGCAGGAATCAATATCACTGTCTACAGATATTTGCAGGTGTCAATGCAGGAATCAGTGTCACTGTCTATCACAGATATTTGGGTGTCAATGCAGGAATCAATATCACTGTCTACAGATATTTGGGTGTCAATGCAGGAATCAATATCACTGTCTACAGATATTTGGGTGTCAATGCAGGAATCAATATCACTGTCTACAGATATTTGGGTGTCAATGCAGGAATCAATATCACTGTCTACAGATATTTGGGTGTCAATGCAGGAATCAATATCACTGTCTATAGATGTATGAGTGTCAATGCAGGAATCAGTGTCACTGTCTACAGATATTTGGCTGTCAATGCAGGAATAAATATCAGAGACTGCAGATGTGTGAGTGTCAATGTTGGAACCAACCAAAGTGTGTGTTTTCTTCATTATGCTACGTCTATTCACAAACCTGCAGTATAAAGTAACGTTATATGATTCCAAAGCTGCTGATATGCCCGGCATTGAGGCTGCACATCCTGCTGTGTGAAGCTTGCCGGTGCATATAGTTTTCTTGTCATTGCCTGAAAGCACAAATTGCAATGGTTTCAAGTCAGTACTGATTCACTTTTACTTTAACTGACAAAAGACAGAATACTGGGTCGACCTTGGCAACAAGCAGGAAAAATGTAAATGGTGCACGTGCAAGGTAAGCTATTAGGGGACACTGGCAAATTGTACTTGCTGGAGTAGGTTCAACGCCGTTATACTGTTATTTAACTCTCATCACTCCATGTCCACTTGGTGGAAAGCAAGCCGGAAGTGATGCACGAACTTTTTCACAAGTACGGGTATGGTTCTGAGAAAAATGACCATATAGTCGGGGTGAACCAGGACTTGCTAAAAGGACGCAACTATGAACGGCGAATGGATGGCGCCAAAGACCATTACATGGTGACGACACCCAGAAAATACATGGGGACGAGTAGCGGAAACAAAATATACGTAGTTATTATTGATCATGTAAACCTTGAGGTAGATGCAAATATTCAGTATGATTAAAACCATATTGTATTCATGAAAAGTATACTAAATGAAAGTGATTGGTAAACAAAATAAACGTATTTTGTATTGATTATTTTAACCATGACACAATCATTACCTTTATACAAATATCGGCTCACTTACTATTCACTGTGCTACAAAACCTATCGTAGGATGTATAAACGCCTCCCAGCACGTCGAACAAGGTGACGCTTTTGGCACAGTCCTTAATTTTGAACTCCACGCAACGGAGGAATGTCTCCATGGACCTGCAACAGACTGTTAGTATCACAGAGGCCACGATACAGCTGGAAACTCAGTTCAGTCTGGAATACATGGTTAAACACAGGTAGGGGGCACGCTGAACGTCAGGACCCCGTGTTATGTCATTTAGGAGAAACTAAGTAGTATCCCATACACAAGCCTGTGGCGTTTCACTTGTATTGTAGCCAGTAGTGTGGCTGGATAATGCAACACAGATGTACTGATGACAAGTACAGTAGCCAACAGTATGACACACGTACAGTGGCCAACAGTATGACACACGTACAATAGCTAGCAAATGATATACGTACAGTAGCAAGCAATGTGACACACGTACAGTAGCTAGCAAAATGACACATGTACAATAGCTAGCAAATGATACACGTACAGTAGCAAGCAATGTGACACACGTACAGTAGCTGGCAATATGACACACGTACAATAGCTAGCAATATGACATACGTACAGTAGCTAGCAATATGACAAACGTACAATAGCTAGCAATATGACACTTGTACAATAGCTAGCAATATGACACTTGTACAATAGCTAGCAATATGACACACGTACAATAGCTAGCAGTATGACATACGTACAATAGCTAGCAATATGACACACGTACAATAGCTAGCAATATGACACACGTGCAGTAGCCAGGAGTATGACACACGTACAGTAACCAGTAGTATTTCACACGTACAGTAGCCAGGAGTATGACACACGTGCAGTAGCCAGGAGTATGACACACGTACAGTAGCCAAGAGTATGACACACGTACAGTAGCCAGGAGTATGACACACGTAAAGTAGCTAGCAGTTTGATATTCGTACACTAGCCAGGAGTATCACACATGTACAGTAGTCTGTAGAACGACACACGTACAGTAGCTAGCAGGTTCATACTTATACAGTAGCTAGCAGTTTGATACTCTTACAGTAGCTAAGAGTTTGACACAGTAGCCAGTATCAAGTTGATTTACGCACGTGCAGTAGCCAGATATGTTCATTTTCTGAAGTAGATTTGAAGCGTCCGTCATCAAGGGATAGCAGCTCATAATCCTGCTACCGCAGGCTCGAACCTCTTCCTCTGAAAATACAACAACACTTATAAGGAAGAATCAAACTTAACTATTAAAACACCCATTTTAAAGTAGCCACCAAGAATATTTTTAATAACACCAACAGCATAACTCAAATCTACAGCTTGTCTGGTGATATCTGCTACGTGAGGTCAACAAATGACTAGAATCCACTCACTTGTCACCTGACAGTCTCGGTAGTATTTCTCTTTCATGGCGTCCAGCAGCTCGGTGTTGTTGTCGCAGTTGACGTAGTCGCTGGAGTAGCAGGCAATGGTTCTGCTGGTTAACCTGTGGGGAGGGCAAGACGTTAATATCATATTTTCATTCTCATGTGACACTTTTGTCGACCTGTTCCCAATACAGGCATTTCTTTACTAGCCATGGGCCATACTGGCACATACACCTGTGTAGATGTAACCGGAAGTCAACGCGGGTCAGACTGTTGAACGCCCAAGACATTACAATACAACCCAGGAAGGTAGTTTCAGATTGGTTCTGTAAAGTTCGTGTATTGGTGTAGGCATAAAGAAAACATATTTGTGAGTATTACTGAGTTTTACTGAGTGCCATACTTCTGCCACTTGTAAAACTCTGCAAACTACAAGTTAGAGTGGAGTAATGCCTCAAGCTGTAACACTGACTGACTGAGTTTGGTTTTACGCCGCTTTTAGCAATATTCCAGCAACATCATGGCGGGGGACACCAGAAATGGGCTTCACACATTGTACCCATGTGGGGATTCGAACCCGGGTCTTCGGCGTGACGAGCCAACGCTTTAACCATTAGGCTACCCCACCGCCCCTCAAGCTGTAACATGGTTGGTTTATTGTTAACGCCTTACTCAGCAATATGCCAGCTATATGGCGGGTGTCTGTAAATAATCTGGTCTGGGCATGGATTAACACTGGCAACAGCTGGTCTACATTGCCAACGTCTTTAAAGTGGTTCAGCATTTACATGGCGTCATCAATTATTGTATGTCGTCATAACAAGTACCATTGTATGCAACGTCAACCATGCTACAACACTTACGTCATCGATATATGGATGATGTGTACTCGCCTACACTGAACCACACTTATCCATCATTAGTGGTACGACAATCTTGGATTCACTCACGTGTAGTTACTGATCCATTCATTCAAAGCAACTTCACAGACTGACAGACAGTTTAAGTCTCACCAAGGGTACACAATATATACATACGATGTGAGTTTAACAAGAGTAAAAGTACCCTAGCCATCATTTATAGAATTATGAGAGAATGTATGAGGTGAGGTGAAATTGGGTTTACGTCGTGCTTGAGAATATTTCGCTCATATGACGACGTGCATGCGTGTGTATGTGTATGTGCGGCTGCTTGTACTAGCCCAGACTTAAGCTGGTTTTATAGTGCTAGCCCACTGTGATACCATACCGCAATGAAGCATGAATACCCCACTCAGACACATTATACTAACTCCGAGCCGACCAGTCCTTGTTGTACCCATTAATGCCGAGCGCCAGGCAGGGACCAACAAGTACCATATTTTAACGTCTTTTGGTATGACGCGGCCGGGGATCGAACCCGCGACCTTCCGCTCTCCGGGCGGACGCTCTAACCACTACACCACGGAGGTGGTCGAGAGACTGTATGAGATACAAACTGGAAAATGTAAGTAAAATGATATAAAATTGCACAACATTCACAAATAAACTCTCGGGCGAAAGAAACGTCACCAAAATGATTTTTTTATCTTTTATCTTACGCTAAGTGATTTTTCATATCTGTAGTTCACATTTTCATCATTCAGAATGTTGAAAATCCATTTAATTTCCAAATATGATTGTTAAATTTCCAAAATCTAAGTTTGTTGTTTTGTGACATGTTAAAATAGCGATCCTGACGTTTCTTTCGCCCGTGAGTGTTAAAAACGATCTTCTTCGCACAAAAATTAGGTTGAGGGCAGTATAATTCATAACATTTTCATTAGATAGTAAAATGCAGAAGTTGTGTACAGCAGACAGCAAATCTTGTAGGGTTAATAAATTAGTTTTCAGAGAAATCAACTCGGACATGCACTTGCACCTGCACCGTTATGTAGCACATGCAATACCTGTTTGTGCTCTTCCTGCCGTTGTATACTTAACAACAAGTTTCTTGAACAACGACTGATGTGTATGAAATAAACTAACAGCAAATATTGTTGGGTACAGGGTAAACAATGTCATGTACCGTTTTGGAATTTACTAGACTATTCAGTATTTTGAGTAAGTATGCATTTCATTGTTTTTATTTGGAGACATGTGAAGTATACAATCACTGTAGTCTATAACGTAAACCTACATGCACCATTTTATTCCCGCTTCCCATAGTACCAACTAAGCGCAAATAAAATGCCTATCTCATTGATGTGTTTAATTGCCGATATACTAAATCTTCAGTCTTCATCACAATGTGTTCAGTCACAGATACAACCTGACACTGTGTTCAGTCACAGATACACAATTGCTCAGTCACAAATACCATCTGTAAAAGGAAGACTCTCTGGTGGTTTTCTTGTGTTAATTAAGAAATGTTTATTCGAAATATTTGGGAAAAGAACGGCCATTTGTGATAATGTTATCTTCACAGTGTTTGACAAGAAGCTTTTCAAGTTGGATAAAGATGTTCTAGTAGCATCTGTGTATGTGCATCATTGTGGTTCAACTTGATATGACCGAAAACAGTGTAAATGTGGAATCACGATGTTGTTTGAACAATTATTAACCTTTTTGGATGATTTTGGTGACATGTATATTATGATTGGGTGTGATCTAAACGCTAGAACTGGTGAGGACTCTGACAGTTTTGAAGATAGCATTGCTGATATGTTAGGATTTGATGATATTCATGTGTTATTTGACAAGCTGGACACGGACAGACACTCTTTTGATGAAGTCGTTAATCACTCCAAAAAGTTCACCAGAGTGGTGCTCCGCTGTAAACCTGTTGATTATGAACGGTCGCTGTGGATCTGATGCACGCTCAGATTACACATTCATAAATAAACTGGCTAAAAGTTTGATTGACTATGTGATATGTTCACCCATGTTGTTTACACTTTGTAATGATTTCAATATCATGTCAAGGGCAGACTCTGACCATTTACCACTAAGGTGTTCGTTTCATATCTGGGACGCTTCACATGAGGCATCGGATGACTACCGTTATGTGTGGGATGAGGGCAAAACTGAATTGTTTAGGAATAATCTGCTTTCAGTTGAGATTATATCCATGTTTGAACAATGTTTACAATCTATGTCTATAAATATGAATCTTGCCATTGAAACGTTTACAGATGCAGTATGTAAGGCTGCAAGTTGTATGAAGCGCCTGTTAGGTGGTTATGCACATAAACCTCAACAGTCATCGTATGATCAGGAGTGTAACTATCTCCCATGTCAGAGAGATAGGTTACTGAGAGTGTTTAGAATGAATAAATGTGATAATAGTTTGAGACAGTATTTAAAGGCAAGAAATTTAATAACAACTGCTGTTCGAGACAAAAAGTGTTTGTATTTGAATAGAATAAGAAGTAAATTGAGGAATAATCTCAGAATTAAATCTATCTATGAAAGTGTAAAATCGTGTGTTAAATGTAATAATTCAGTTTCCGATATGTTTGAGTGTAATGTGGGAGTGCGTCAGGGATGTGTCTTAAGCCCCCTGCTATATTATTAATGATCTTGCTGAAAGTTCATGTTATCCTGGCATCCAGTTACATCCGGACTTGACTCATTGACTCATTTATTCTTATTACCACGGGATGACGTCGTTCTTATATCTGACACTATTGGGAGGTTACAAAACGTATTAACGTGTTACAGCAGTATTGTCATCTATATAATTTAACTGTACATTTAGATAAAACTAAGATAGTTGTCTTTAAAAACGGCGGAGCGAGGGGCAAAAATGGTATTTTGAGGGCAATTTCATTGCATGTGTCTCATCTTTTAGGTATTTAGGTGCGGTAGTTTCTAGGAATTTAACTTGGAATAAGCAGTTTATTAGTTCATCGTTGCAATCTAGAAAAGCATTATTTGGTGTTCTAAAATGTCTGTCGAAACTTACCAAATGATGTTTTCTTCAAGGCTTTTGATAGTAGAGTGATGTCAAGTTATTGTATAGTTCTGAAATATGGGGGCTAGAATTTGAGTCTGAACTTAGCAGTGTTATTGGAGGAGTTCATGTTCAAGTGTATAAATATGTTCTTGGTGTGAAAACGTCAACTTCAAACCATGTCGTTCGTGGTGAGTGTGGGAGATATCCGGTATATATCTCCCTATATCTTTACCTACAAACGTTGTATAGAATATTTGTATAAACTGTTATCCATGCCAAACTCACGCTTACCCATGAAATTATAACATGTTAATGTTAGATATGAGTCATGGTAAATGTAATTGGGCTTCAAAATTGAGAAATGTGTTATTTATAATGGAATTTGGCTATGTTTGGGATAACCAGTGCATCAGTAATATTCAGTCGTTTTTATCAAAATTTATGGACAGAGCTAAATGTATGTATCAGCAAGTTTGGCATGCATCTTTGTCACAAGGTTCTGAAACATATAAATATTCTATGTATAAGCCTAACTTTTATCAAGAGCATTATATTAAGCATATAACTATTAAGACATTTCGCGTCGCTTTAGCTAAGATATGATGTAGTTCTCACCAACTGAAAATTGAGATGGGTACATACTTAAATGTCCCAGGAAAAGAACGATTTTGTGATGTTTGTAAAATTAACTGTATCGAAGATGAGTACCACTTATTGTTTGTATGCAAAGCGTGTGTCGATTTGCGTGAACAGTTTATACTGAGGAAATACCATGTATTTCCAACACTAGGTAAATCTAATCTTTTAATGTCCAGTGATCTTATAAGAAAGTTGGCTATGTATGTTGAGAAATGTATGTATGCAATTGAGGACGAAACTGTTAATGTAGGCAATAAGTATTGTGGCTGCTGTATAACTGCTGTGTCATGGGCCGATGGCCTACGTCTCTTTCTTGACTAAACCAATAAACCCTCAATGTTCAGTCACAAATACAGGTAGTTCTCAGTTACAAATACAGGTAGTTCTCAGTCACAAATACACGTAGTTCTCAGTCACAATACAGGTAGTTCTCAGTCACAAATACAGGTAGTTCTCAGTTACAAATACAGGTAGTTCTCAGTCACAAATACAGGTAGTTCTCAGTCACAAATACAGGTAGTTCTCAGTCACAAATACACGTAGTTCTCAGTTACAAATACAGGTAGTTCTCAGTTACAAATACAGGTAGTTCTCAGTCACAAATACAGGTAGTTCTCAGTCACAAATACAGGTAGGTAGTTCTCAGTCACAAATACAGGTAGTTCTCAGTCACAAATACAGGTAGTTCTCAGTTACAAATACAGGTAGTTCTCAGTTACAAATACAGGTAGTTCTCAGTTACAAATACAGGTAGTTCTCAGTCACAAATACAGGTAGTTCTCAGTTACAAATACAGGTAGTTCTCAGTTACAAATACAGGTAGTTCTCAGTCACAAATACAGGTAGTTCTCAGTCACAAATACAGGTAGTTCTCAGTTACAAATACAGGTAGTTCTCAGTTACAAATACAGGTAGTTCTCAGTTACAAATACAGGTAGTTCTCAGTCACAAATACAGGTAGTTCTCAGTTACAAATACAGGTAGTTCTCAGTTACAAATACAGGTAGTTCTCAGTCACAAATACAGGTAGTTCTCAGTTACAAATACAGGTAGTTCTACAGTTCTCAGTCACAAATACAGGTAGTTCTCAGTTACAAATACAGGTAGTACTCAGTTACAAATACAGGTAGTTCTCAGTCACAAAAATACAGGTAGGTTCTCAGTCACAAATACAGGTAGTTCTCAGTTACAAATACAGGTAGTTCTCAGTTACAAATACAGGTAGTTCCTCAGTTACAAATACAGGTAGTTCTCAGTTACAAATACAGGTAGTTCTCAGTTACAAATACAGGTAGTTCTCAGTTACAAATACAGGTAGTTCTCAGTTACAAATACAGGTAGTTCTCAGTTACAAATACAGGTAGTTCTCAGTTACAAATACAGGTAGTTCTCAGTTACAAATACAGGTAGTTCTCAGTTACAAATACAGGTAGTTCTCAGTCACAAATACAGGTAGTTCTCAGTTACAAATACAGGTAGTTCTCAGTCACAAATACAGGTAGTTCTCAGTTACAAATACAGGTAGTTCTCAGTCACAAATACACGTAGTTCTCAGTTACAAATACAGGTAGTTCTCAGTTACAAATACAGGTAGTTCTCAGTTACAAATACAGGTAGTTCTCAGTTACAAATACAGGTAGTTCTCAGTTACAAATACAGGTAGTTCTCAGTTACAAATACAGGTAGTTCTCAGTTACAAATACAGGTAGTTCTCAGTTACAAATACAGGTAGTTCTCAGTTACAAATACACGTAGTTCTCAGTTACAAATACAGGTAGTTCTCAGTTACAAATACAGGTAGTTCTCAGTTACAAATACAGGTAGTTCTCAGGTACAAATACAGGTAGTTCTCACAAATACAGGTAGTTCTCAGTTACAAATACAGGTAGTTCTCAGTCACAAATACAGGTAGTTCTCAGTTACAAATACAGGTAGTTCTCAGTTACAAATACAGGTAGTTCTCAGTCACAAATACACGGTAGTTACAAATACAGGTAGTACTCAGGTACAAATACAGGTAGTTCTCAGTCACAAATACAGGTAGTTCTCAGTTACAAATACAGGTAGGTAGTTCTCAGTCCCAGTCACAAATACAGGTAGTACTCAGGTACAAATACAGGTAGTTCTCAGTCACAAATACAGGTAGTTCTCAGTTACAAATACAGGTAGTTCTCAGTCACAAATACACGTAGTTCTCAGTTACAAATGCAGATAGTTCTCAGTTACAAATACAGGTAGTTCTCAGTCACAAATACAGGTAGTTCTCAGTTACAAATACACGTAGTTCTCAGTTACAAATACAGGTAGTTCTCAGTCACAAATACAGGTAGTTCTCAGTCACAAATACAGGTAGTTCAAATACAGGTAGTACTCAGTCACAGATACACTGAGTGCTCAATACACAGGGCTTCAATTATTCTACTTACTACTGAATCACCAAACAATAAGTGTTTTATCACCAACATACGAAGTACGGTAACTGCATCACCAATCCCTAAGCCTTGAATCACCAGTTGGTTGAACATGAGTGAGTGACTGTTGTATAGCACAGGAACAAGCAATACATGCAGATACACACACTCAAACACAGTTACCACCACATAAAGATACGCACATACATGCATACCTATATAAACAAACGCGTGCACACGTTCATATACAGACACGCGCTCTCACACCCTCGACTACACGTAGGAATAAACTGACAATTGCGTGCACAAGTGTACAGATCCCGGTTGTTGTGTGTGTCTTCTCGTCCACATATAAAGTGAGTGAGTGAGTTAGTTTAGTTTTACGCCGCACTCAGCAATATTCCAGCTATATGGCGGCAGTCTGTAAATAATCGAGTCTGGACCAGACAATCCAGTGATCAACAGCATGAGCATCGATCTACACAATTGGGATACGATGACATGTGTCAACCCAGTCAGCGAGCCTGACCACCCGATCCCGTTAGTCGCCTCTTACAACAAGCATGGGTTACTGAAGATCAATATTCTAACCCGGACCTTCACGGACTTCCACATATAAAGCTGAAAATCTGGTGTCCTTCACTCGTTGCAACAAACACACGTGCACTCACGTCACTCTCATACGTAGCCACACGAGCACACATCCTGCTACTTACTGACAGTACAGTTCCTGGTTGTTCTCTGTTCTGGCTGTGTTGGCGTCCACATTCAGGGCTGTACATCTGGGGTCACTGGTACACGCCAAGCTGCCACCTGCACACCATGCAAGACAATGCTCATCACGAAAGACTGGTGAACAATCCTCTAACTTACATTCACAAATATATAATGAAATGGGCTATGCTGCACAGCTTTATCTGAATTAACACAACCAGCGTTACTACCAGGAAATATGTTAACCTTGATTGTGAGGCACTCTGATTGTGAGGTACTCTGATTGTGAGGTTCTCTGATTGTCAGGTACTCTGATTGTGAGGTGAGGTACTCTGATTGAGAGGTACGCTGATTGCAAGGTACTCTTTGATGTACTCTGATTGTGAGGTACTCTGATTGCAAGGTACTCTTTGATGCACTCTGATTGTGAGGTACTCTGATTGTGAGGTACTCTGATTGTGAGGCACCCTGATTGCAAGGTACTCTGATTGTGAGGTACTCTGATTGTGAGGCACTCTGATTGTGAGGTACTCTGATTGTGAGGTACTCTTTGATGTACTCTGATTGTGATGTACTCTGATTGTGAGGTACTCTGATTGTGAGGTACTCTGATTGTGAGGCACTCTGATTGTGAGGTACTCTGATTGTGAGGTACTCTGATTGTGAGGCACTCTGATTGTGAGGCACTCTGATTGTGAGGTACTCTGATTGTGAGGTACTCTTTGATGTACTCTGATTGTGATGTACTCTGATTGTGAGGTACTCTGATTGTGAGGTACTCTGATTGAGAGGTACGCTGATTGTGAGGTACTCTGATTGTGAGGTACTCTGATTGCAAGGTACTCTTGATGTACTCTGATTGTGAGATACTTTGATTGTGAGGTACTCTGATTGCAAGGTACTCTTGATGTACTCTGATTGTGATGTACTCTGATTGTGATGTACTCTGATTGTGAGGCACTCTGATGTGAGGCACTCTGATTGTGAGGTACTCTGATTGCAAGGTACTCTTTGATGTACTCTGATTGTGAGATACTCTGATTGTGAGGTACTCTGATTGCAAGGTACTCTTTGATGTACTCTGATTGTGAGGTACTCTGATTGTGAGGCACTCTGATTGAGTGGTACACTGATTGTGAGGTACTCTGATTGTGAGGTTCTCTGATTGTGAGGTACTCTTTGATGTACTCTGATTGTGAGGTACTCTGATTGTGAGGCACTCTGATTGAGAGGTACACTGATTGTGAAGTACTCTGATTGTGAGGTACTCTGATTGTGAGGCACTCTGATTGTGAGGTACTCTTTGATGTATTCTGATTGTGAGGTTCTCTGATTGTGAGGTGCTGTGCTATTGTTATTAAAGAGATACCTGTCCAGTCTTGGATTAGTGTTGTAGTTTTAGTCCGAAACTGTTAACACAACAAGCATATAATCCATATATACTCGTACAACCTTCCCTATTATTCCCAGGTAAAAAGCATTAAAAAGCACAAAAATGGGAATTCTGGGTTACCTATTAAACACCAGGTATGTCGAAAGCCGTAGACTGACAATACAGCCAATGGTCGTATTCGTGACATCACGCATTAAGGTCATGCTGCTCTACATTCAACACCGTAGTCATGGTATTACCTAGTGCTTGCTTTCGTGGAATTCAATATCACCCCGTGCAAAATAGTTCGATACAATCGGGCGTATATTGGAAAACAAGTTGAGAGAAGGTTTCTGAGTAGTATTTACACATGGGCTAACCCATCGCCCCTTATTACCATATATTTGATATTATTTATAATGTTCAAATAAATTCTTTTTCAAAACAGTTTTATTATTCATAGAACTTTAAAAAATAGTCTTCAGTTGAAACATACGTCGGGTTCTGATGGAATGACGCAATATAATCTTTCAATTTTTAGGATCTGAAAGATTAGTGCCATAATTCAAAACTTTGAAAGGTTGCAACACACAATGGGAATCAAACGCAGCATATTTTAACAAAGAGCTATGGATAAATTGATACGAATAAAAGCTTCCATGACATAATTTGATTTTTCTTCATTCTTTTATATAGCAATGCATTTCTCACTTGAATACAAAGTTGTCAGTAGTTTTAAAAGTACACCTATTGTCGATTGTCTTAGTGTTTGAATCCACACACATATATGGACATATATTAACAGTATATGATTAATTCAAGTATTTAAGTAGTTAGAACATAACCAAATAAAATATTTTGTCAATGTATTTTACTACAGAATGTGGCTATTTAACCAAGTTCAAGACGGTTCTATTCAGTTATCTTCATCATATCCCAAAAGACATTGACGGCACTAACAGATACATGCACGTGCATACACGTCTCTATAAAGTGATAATCTCTTACGCGACGTTAAAAGCCATAAAACCTTACCTTAGGGCTAGTTCACAAAATAAGCTAAATACGTAGAAGCCCGGGAAGGGAAATCAACAGAATTTAGAAGATATAAAGTGTCTTATTGTTTAAACTCTAATTTATTGTTTCGACAGATTATTGAGTTATTTAGTTACTGAGTAAGTGATATTGATGAATCAAGTCAGACATCATCAATTCATTGTGTCGTTGATGATAGGTAATTAATCTAAACAGAAATGAACTGAAACGCAAACAGCATTCCCACAGTTCGGCGTCAGTACACTGATATATGGAAGACAGCGCTTTGCTGTAGTACAAGTAACTGAGCGACGCTGTTCAGTTATACAGGTTTTATTAAGCATATGTATATTCCGATAGCTTCTGTTGTATTCTGATATGGAGAAACTATATTTACTGGCGAAATGCTGCAGGCTGTGCAACAGCTCACACACCAGAGAGCTTACTCATCACCTGTATCTGTCAAACCGATCTCCAACGTTTAATTGCCGTAGCAAATATTTCGGCAAAAATGTGAAACTAATATCTGGGAAATTAATCTTTCCAAAACGGTTTGCCTTCAAATAAAGTCGCATCACCATTCCAAATATACACTTAATATATTATGTTTGAGTATTTTGTATATTTATTAAGTTGTCGAACTTTCTGTCTCGTTCTAAATAAATACCTATCGACATAATAACCTATAAAAACAGTAGTACTCTACATTTTTTTTAATGTAGAATGTGTTCAAGTATTTTACAACACTGCTAACTCAAGCTCCTTGTCTGTCACCATCCTGACATCAACATCTACGTACCTATGATACGTACAGGCAAAAACTTACACTTTCGTGAAATGCATTAACAATGTAATGCAAAATCTAATATCTCTGGATGTATTTATCTTGACAAGGGGACTTGGAGAAAGATGGCTTGACAAGCCTGACCATCCATCAAAGATTTAGAGACAACTACATACAGGGGATGATCGACAGAACTGTTTTCATTTATCCCGTGTTTACAATGTTTTAACAAAAGACAGCATGTTACAACTGCTACCTACCAAGGAATAACGTCAAAAGGCACAGGTTGTTGAAAAACATGATGTGTGGTCACTTGTGTGGTCACTTGCGTGGTTCTGGGACGCCTGGAGCTGACTGTTATCCCTTACTCTGTCGTCGTCTGCTGCGCAATGCACAAGCTCACGTTAGCTCAACACCCCGCAGTTATAGGTGTCGCTACGTCCGCATAACAAATATATGTATCAGGTGCATGCATGTAGTAATTGGTTGTCACCAGGTCGAAGTAACTTTCTCTGTCAGACTGTCAGACTTTGAGACTGTCAGGAGAAATTAAATGATCACCAGATCCTTGTGCACTTACTGGTTCTCTGTGACCATCACCTGCTGTGCTCGCTTAAGTGTGTCGGGCCTCACTGCTGTGGGTACAGGTGTACGAGGTTAATGGGGCAGGTCGAGGAAGGAAACTACCTACATCTGCCCCGAAACTTCGATATTTGATATCATTTTGTGCGTTCGTACCCAAAGCTGCTTGTTCTTGTAAAAATAATCACAACAGCCGAAAACGTTCTACAACGTGCATATCATCGTTCTTCCGAGTGCATTTCTGCCATTTTGTCTCTTGTTGTGCAGGATTAAATAGGTAGACTATAGGCTAGCTTAAAATATATGGGATTGTTTGTCACATACAGGATCATATATATAACATACAGGATAATATATAATATACAGGATCGCCTGTAACATGCAGGATTCATCCCTGCAATATTACACGCAGCATAGTTGTCTCCTTATAATAGTAATATACAACATGCACAATGCAATATAATAACAATCTAGGAAAAGGGTGAACAGAGCAAGAATGAAAACGTGACGTCACGAGAGCGTGACGTCATCGGTGTAATAGTGCACGTTGGCGCTTCACATGACAACTAGTATAAAGTTCACATGTAAAGGAAGGGTCGCATGTAACATACAAGGTCGCATGTAACATACAAGGTCGCATGTAACATACAAGGTCGCATGTAACATACCGGATCGCATGTAACATACAAGGTCGCATGTAACACACAAGGTCGCATGTAACATACAAGGTCGCATGTAACATACAGGTCGCATGTAACATACAGGGTCGCATGCAACATACAGGGTCGCATGCAACATACAGGGTCGCATGTAACATACAAGGTCGCATGTAACATACAAGGTCGCATGTAACATACAAGGTCGCATGTAACATACAAGGTCGCATGTAACATACAAGGGTCGCATGTAACATACAAGGTCGCATGTAACATACAAGGTCGCATGTAACATACAAGGTCGCATGTAACATACATGGTCGCATGTTACATACAAGGTCGCATGTAACATACAGGATCGCATGTAACATACAAGGTCGCATGTAACAAACAAGGTCGCATATAACATACAGGGTCGCATGTAACATACAAGGTCGCATGTAAGATACAGGGTCGCATGTAAGATACAAGGTCGCATGTAACATACATGGTCGCATGTAACATACAAGGTCGCATGTAAGATACAGGGTCGCATGTAAGATACAAGGTCGCATGTAACATACAGGGTCGCATGTAACATACAGGATCAGATTTATTATACAAGATCAGGTGCAACATACTGGATCATATGTTACATACAGGATCATATGTAATATACAATCTTAAGCGTAATGTGCAATCTAAATATCAATTAAGTGCCAGTCTATACAAGTGACATATCGTATCGACAATATACCAGCCTTATAATAACACACGCTATTTTATGAGAGGCAAGTTCATATGTATGTCTTCGGAAAGGAAAAGATATTCCCAGGTTCCTCTGTTTCATTACAATCACCCTATGACAAGTGGACAATCAACCCTTTGCTAGAAATACAGTATGCTGATTGAAACAATATTAATACTCTAAATGCTAATTTGTTCTCACTTATACAACAGACTAACACTTAACACACATACAGTTTACCTGGATGCACTTTAAGCTCTCGCTCTAACAGTGTATTCTTTGGTATCCTTCGGAGAAGAGGGGCGTGGGGCGTGGGGAGGTGTGTGTTCGATGCGTAGTAACAAATATTTCGGCAGTTGACAGTGAGCAAAAGACTGTCGTTTGAGACTCTAAAGTAGGCGGTTTATAACTAACTGGTTCGCGCCCAAACCCTTTCCACACCCATAAGAAATGTCTGATAACAGCGTAGTGGATTGTACAATTTAGACTTTATCATGGCCATGTGTTGTGTAAATCACTCTCAAAGTAGTGATGATATCGGATGCTCATGAAAAAGTCAGCGTATCCTGCCCCACTCGTGGCACCCGTCAGAAACCTATGCGAGGTCAAGGCATTTGTTCAGCTGAAACAATTCTGGAAAGTATGGTACAAGTCAAAATGGGGAACTGCATGGGATACGTGTTGTCACTGATGCCTTACTGATTTCTTAGACCCGTGAAGGTCCGGGTTAGAATTGGTCTTCAGTAACTGATGCTTGTCGTAAGAGACAACGAACGGGATCGGGTGGTCAGACTCGCTGACTTGGTTAAAACGTGTCATCGGTTCCCAATTACGCAGATCGATGCTCATGCGGTTGATCACTGGATTGTCTGGTCCAGACATTTATTTAGAAACCGCCGCCATATAGCTGGAATATTGCTGAGTGCGACGTAAAACTAAACTCACTCGCTGACTACTGTTTTCTTAGGTAGTCAGACACCATAAGACATTTTGAAAGCAGTTATCATGTTCGAGTCGTTTACGCCATTGGTGAAGTCCAAGGGTACTGACAGAACAAAGTATACATCACCAGGAATAACGTGGCATTTAGAAGCTGGTATGATTAAAAGGAACATTTTTTTAGGGATAGACAACATCTTTATTGCATTGGCGGAACCAGAGACACCCCCCACCCACCTTTTTTTTGTTGAAAATGACTTAAAGGTCACATGCAACGTAAAACACAACTTTGCAGATTCTGATACCTTTCGGTATGGGCTTACCGAAACAAATCATCAAAAATGCAAATTCAACTTATAAAGTTGAAAAATAATGCGATGAAAAAACCGCGCGAAATCGGAGTTCAAACGTTTCACTAATTTTCCCCCGACTTTTCGGGGGAAAACTGGTTTCAACAGCTGCGCTGCGCTCATAGCACGTGCGCAGTGAAATAGGTTCGCGCAGCTTGGAAGCGGGTTGTCCGGTGAATACTCGGTGAAGGCTTTGGTGTGAGCTATTTTTCTAATGTTTTGTTGATATCTCACAGGCGCGAGCTTTTTATATGTTATGACAGTAAATTAACTGTTTATATAATTTCATTTGTCTATTTCACCACACGTTCTTCTTACCGAGTCACTTTCTCAGTTCGATACTTGAAAGCAATGTCATTATTTAGCGTTGACAGAATTTGTAACTGTGATATAGATATGTCGTTGTCACAGACAAAACTCAATGTCTTGTTTTATTGACACCTGTGTGTCTGCCTGCCTGTCTGCTAATGACAATATTCAATACACAGCTGCTATCACTGACCACATGCAATTTGAACTTAACACCAATCAGGCTATACACCATAAACAAAATGCATTGATTTATGGCCCGAGTTTGGTCTCTGTCACATTATGTTATTACACAGACAGGCAGGTGTGATACTTGAACACATGACATGTTATGATGTCTGTTGATTGCAAAATGTTATACACAAAAAATGAGCATGTATTTACAAAACCCAACATCTCTATATATACACACACAATGAGCCGTGAGGGCATCTGCAAATGAACCATCCGTTACATTTGAGTGCACACCCACCCGTTCTGACTGGGTTCGGTATCCGGGCTGCTTCGTTTCTTGGGAAGTAAACCCAAATACACAATATTGCACTTTTGATTTGCGATTGTACGCTTATAATTTTGTTTATATGTTTTTTCATAACCAGCAATGTATATTATATGTCATGAATAAGTGATAATTGTGTTTTAATTATGTTTGATTTTTTGGTTGCATGTGACCTTTAAGACCACATTGAAGATTTCTTTAGCGTTCGAACCTCCTGGAACCCCCACCAATAAAGAATTAACTATCCATTTACTGTCTTCCTCTTGTTGATCAGGGATAACGGAAAATTGAAATAACGATTTAAGGTTTTTCGCCTTATCTAAGGCACCGAAATCAGCACATCGAACAAATGGTATCATAATTACCGTTTGCGCTGAGTCTAAGTGATTCAGTGTTTGCGGCTGTTTACAGCCTCGAAACGTTTAGTTTCGGTAGTTTGGTCAACTCAACTTGTCAAATGTTCACTCTCGGCAGTTAACATTATGTCCTCCTATCAAATGGTATTAATGACGTCGTGTTTGTGCATGTAGCACATATACCACCTAGCACACGTGTTACCTACATCAACCAACTAAACACCTGATCAAATATCACTAACATCCATTTATACTCTGCTGAATATATGTGGGATTCAGACGATTTTACCATTCAGAATACATGGAATCTCATTTTCGAAAGGTTTCAGGTATCGGGCTTCTGAATATTGCTATAGCACTACTGATATTAATGATCCCCGGTCGCCAGGAATCATATCAAGTTGTCGTGCCTATAAAAAAGCAAGAGACAATGGATTAGTATGGTGGTTGGGTTCGATTCCCCACACGGGTGCAGTGGGCTCATTCCTGTTATGTTATGGCTGGAAAATCCTTTAAAACAGTGTATAAATCAACTTCTGAATGATGACTTCCGAACACCAGAGCTGATAGACCGTACCATGTAAAGACAAATGACGTGCGGTCGCTTAGGGGCTCTGTGAAAATATATACTCACATCATTCTGAATGAGTCTGGAAATTAAAGCATAAACGACATCTTGTCAAATATAATTCATTTACTGTCCTTCTGTTTGACTTTATAATATATTATGCAAAATGAAGTGTAATGTAAACGGTTGAACTAGTTCACGTTATAACATAGCAAGACTATAACATCATTGTTGTTGTGGCACGTCGCCAACAGCATGCATTGTAACAGTAGGAGCACACGCTTGACCTAACCTGTCTGGTCATGAAAATTGTTAAGTACTTGTTTACGCCTAAACTTGGTCTGTCGCACAGACTCTGAAACAAATATATCCAAGAAAGCCCATGAAAGCCTAGATCATGTGGCAA